GTCAGCTAAAGATTCGTCAGCTTTTTATTTGCTCACTTTGAAAACGTGTCAAATTTTTTTTAGAAAGAAAAACCTAAACGGAAAGCAGCACCACCGCCTTGTGATGAAAATGAAAAAGAGCCCAGTTCTGATGCAAAACTAGTGAGAAAAGATGCTCGAAAACCTAAAGAATCTTCATCTGCAGATATTCAGCAAAAGGAACAAGAAAAAAGTGCAGTTTCTGAGGTAAGCGTACCAAATGCCGATTTTAGCCGACGCTATACCTAGCATTATTATCAGTGTTAAAAAGGCATTTTAAATTGGTTTCTTCGTTGCATATCTTTTTCTTCGTTAATCTTCAAGTAAATTAGAATAAACAAAATAAAAGCTGAATAATAATTAAGGCAAAACTACAGTTTATTAGGTACGGCTGGAAATAATGACCACAGAACGACTATGAGACTGACAATAGTTACAGGATGAAGGCAAAAAAGGAGTAGAAGGCGAAAAACCTGAAGAACAAAAGAAAGAAAAAGATGAGGATGAAGAACTAGAAGAAGATATAGAACAAGACGAGCAAAAACAGTACGGAAGGGAAAAACTAAAGGCGAGAAAACCACAACGATTTGGAAGCAGCACTGCCGCTGCAAAAGCAAACCAGGTTGGTGTTGCATAAAAATGCTGTGAAATCAAGTTAATCATTTTATATCAGTATGCATTATATCAGTATTTTATATCAGTCTTCACTGTCGTCTGGTAAGAAAAAAAATGTAAATTTGTAGCCTGCACAGTATAACTACTATTGGTGCTTCGTAGCTGCTTTTTGAAAGCTCCTATGTCTGTTCATTGAGCATTGTAGAGTTTAGGAATGTAGGCGAAAGAACTGCCCGGCAGTGGATGATGGAAAACCACGGAAAGAATTATTGAAACATAAATCGGTAACATTTCAACTCTAGTCGGCTACCTCTCACTTCGTCGTCAGCACTAAGTATTTGGTCACCTAAATATTGTAAATTTCGTTTAGAGAAAAACCTCATTGGGTATAAAACGATTTAAACCAGTTGGGGTAGATGATGACATTGAAGAAGAGGAGGAAGAGGATGAAGAAGAAGAAGGGGACGAAGAGCTTGTAGAGGATAGAGATGGAAAGCCGGGTACAGAAGGGTCGGAGGACACTGAACTGCCTGAAACCAACCCGGAATTAGCAGCTACCTACGAAAGGTAATGAACCTTAAGAAAACCTGATTTGAACTAGTGAATTTTTAGTCACCATTTAAGATGTAGTATGCTGACAACGCCTTCAGAGCGTTGTCATTACACTACAGGCTTGGTCTTTTACCCTTGAAGATAGAGAAAATTTTTCTTTTATGGTTTTTCAAAATTGTTTACTCAGTCTGATCTTGAAAAAAAATTCTTGCTCACTATGATTATGAATACACTGTTCAGTTTGTACTGTTGAAGCGATTATAGGCTGCAAGATCGACAAGCGTACAAGCGACATGCTATAACGAACCGTGAGGATGACCGGTATCGCAGCTTGCTTGACAGAGCAGATAACCTCGTCGAAAAGGTCAGAATTAGAAAACGGAAGCCAAAGCGATTTTAGGCACAAACAAACAAAAATAATAATAATAAGCACACTTTTTCTGTAGATGAAATGAAACTGACATTTCAACCTGTAACTAATGTTAACTTGACTTTTTTTCTTTCTTTTTCTCTCTTATTTTCGGCTTACAAACTGCCAGTATCTAGACTCTACAAAAAAATAATTGCCAGGACGTTGATAACTGATAAGAGTCAGATTTTTAAGCAATTTTTTTGCATTAAGAGTAGAAATTCCAGCAATTTTTTCATCAGAAGATAAATCATCGTAAGTTTACCCTTGGAATAGCTTAACAAATAGATAACTGCAAAGCTGCTGAACAAACCACAGTACACAGCTGCTACAAAAATCAAAAAAAATTTTAATGCAATTTACGTCGAATAAATAAGTGAAAAGTAAAATAGAATCACAAGGAAAAAACAAAATAGTCAAATTTTGTATTTAATACAAATGAATTTGTTCACTGGCTTTTTAATGATAATCGGGTAACCTATAATTTTTGTTTTTTTATTATGACGTTTTTGTTGTTGTTGTTGTTCTTATTTCTTATTTTTATTTCTTATTCTGTTTCATCTTTTTTTTGCTTTTACTTCAGTGCTTTCTGGTGTAAAAATCCAGTTGTTTAACTAAATTAATAATTCGCATGCTATTTTTTCCTTTTTTTTTTTTTTTGTTTGTTAAGTGTTGTTGAACTGTTCGTGAACCCTTGTAGTATCTTGAGGTTTTGCTTTGTTTTTTATCGGTCCCTACTCACCTTCCCAAATTGTTGTCGGACTGACCGTTTGACTGTGGTTTTTCCTTCTGACGACAGTTTCACGTTGAAGGAAGGCTGCAATTTATTTCTATGCAAACTTTCCCTCCAACAGGCACAAGTATGGCTACTGTCTTTTAAAGTTTTTGTAGATTTATTGTTCTGTGTTCATTCACTTGAGCACTAAGTAATCAATCTTTTTACTTCATTTTTTTTTGATCTCCTTTTTTTTCTTTTGGAGGATGAGAAGTTCTGTTTTTTTTTCTTTGACTTCTGTCTGCAACGAAGCAAGAACGAGTGAATTCAACAATGTTATTTGTTGAATAGGAAGTATAAATGTTTTTGCTGACACTCTGCTGTTTGATATTCCGCACTTGTGTATCCTCCACCGTTGTCGTTCAACTATCTACTGTTGTTGAAGCCGTTGTCGCTATCCTTTGTGCTACTTCTTAACATATATTTTCGTGATAGATGACATAAAGAAAAGAAAAGGAAAAACAAAAAATTAAGACAAACATAGAGGATTAAAGATTACAGTCAATATTAAGGGCAGGTTTTTTTTTGTGTGTATCTGTGTGTATATGCGTATGGCTGTGTGTGTACGTTTTTGACGTGAAAAGGTGGTGACTGAAAAGGTCGTTTAATCGTTTAGGATCACTGCATCAAACCAGCTACTATACTCTAAACAATTGTCAAGCTCGGTGCAAGAGATGAAATAAAGAGTTACGGGGTATCAACTCTAACGCTTGCACGCTTTTCCGGTTCTCAAACATATAAGGCTTACTTTGTTAGAATGGTGCTATTCTTCTAGCAGGAAGTTCAGCGATGTTTTACTCTTTCGTTTACATCATTCCTTTTCTGGATATCTTAGAATTACTCAATTACTTAATTTTTTTCTCGCAGGAATAATTATAAACGTTTATTCTAAGATTACGAATTAAGCAGCGAGAAATTGTTGGTTGATCTGCACTACTACTTTCGCAGTTATAATAATTTTTTTATTTTTTTATTTTTTTGAATTATGTTGTCTTACTAATTGTTGGGCTTAAAAGTAATGATAAAATGAATAGTTTCTTCAAAAAGAGTAACTCAACTTTTCAAAAAACATCAGAAGTTTTTAAAGACTATAACAACGAAAGTTCTTAATATCGCAGTCGGTCAGATTGCTTGTTTAACTGTTCGGCAGCTATTAATCGTTAACAAGAGGTAATGATTAGCCATTACAGAGAAGAAGAAAATCGGAGAAATGTCAGAGAATAAAGGCACATAAAAACAAAGTTGAAATGAATGGAAGTTCTTGTTTTTTGCTTCTATCTCTGCTCTTAGAAAGCGAGATAAACTACTGCTGCAAATATCTTTGAATTCAGCCCTATTCATTCTGAAACAATAAATATAATTGGAGAAAAAGTTGTGCAGCAGTCATGATGCAAATCGCAGGCACCTTTATGGAACTGATATTTTTTATTTTATATGTCAAGTTCTGTTCCTGGTAGATCGTGATCATATTTCTTAATAATTTCAGCCAAGGTCTGCAGTCAGAAATTGAAACAAAAAGGAAAATTGCATTTTTATAGGTTATTACACTAATATCAAAATGGGCAGCTAAACTTCTTCTGTATCCTACAGTTCAGTGATTAGCATAAAACGACATATTGGAAATTTCCGAGTTGGATTTAAGGGATGGTCATCTGTAGTTAAACCAGGCGACAGTAGAACACTGCGTTTGATTCTTCGCTTTTAAGTTTTATTCTCAGTACTATGATCTCGTTTATTACGACGATATTTAACTGTTGTTCGCTTTTTCAACCGTACGGCATTTCAGCTTTCTCAGCGCTTGATATGTGGCCAACATTTTGTCACAACTGCCGTTGACAAATTGTTGACAAAAAATTGGAGAGGTTTACTGGATAAAATAGTTGTTATGTGACCTTTACTCGGCTATAATAACTTAATTATTGTTTTGTTGAGGTAATTTTGTAAACTTAGTCATTTTGCTATATCTTCTAAGTGAAGTTTTTTAAACGCCCAAACCAATGCCGCCAAACAAATAAATACAATTTGAGGTTATTTTTTATAAATATACGGGAACAAATAAATTACCTTATCATGGAAGAAGTGTTGAAGGTATCTAATATATTTGCTTTTATTGATGTTTATTCTGAAAATATTTGTTTGACAAAAAAAGAGGGGTCAATTGTTCAATTTGCAGTACTAAAGTCATTTATTTTATGATCGCTCTAAAACCATTAGTATTAGTGTCTCACAACTATTTTTGTGCTGTAAACACCAGTGACGTTTTAAATCTTTTTTAATTTTTTTTTCTTACAATACCATTTTTGTGTTCTTTATATGTTCTTAAATTATTTTATGTTATTTTTAATAAGTAATAAATAATTGCTAACTTTAATACCACTATTAACTAAAAATTTGAACTAATGCTGCTGCTGCTGCTGCTGCTCGTGTTTTATCAACCACAGAACTAAGCAGATACTGTCAATCATTCGGTCATTTAACCCATTACTCAGAAAACAGTTGCAGCAATAAAGTACTGAATTCATCACTATGTTCACTTTGGTTACTTAGAGGATAAACTGCATTTGACTGGTTAGTAACGTAATATCAAGTATTCGAATTTATAAACTGAAATTTTTACTAAGCCTTTGAACAGGTTATAAATTTACTGTTTGTTAACAAAAAAAATGAAATGAAAATACTAAATTTATTTATTCCAAATAAATATTATCAAAAAGAAAATCAGCATAATGGGATATTTTATGCATTTATGCTTTTGAATGATTAACACTTTAATACTGTCATTGTAGAATCATTTTTTTTGAGACTACAAAAATAAGCCTAGTCGAAAGCGGAATTCAAAAATATTTCACAACAACAGTTTTAGTTTTAATTAATTTGATTTTTTTTTTTTTTTTGTTGAGACAAACTGTAATATTCGTTTGGTGTCTTATTTTTCCACTTATATTTGACAAGTTTTTGATAGCAGTACATTGAAATCAAAAGGAAAAAAAAAA